CCCCCGCCCGTCCCCGCTGCACCCCGTCGGCCCCCAGCCCCGGGGGTGAGAGTGCTGAGGGCGAGCACTCCGTCCAGGCTCTGCCAGCTGGGCTGTGCCCTCAGTCCCCGGGCCTGACCCTGGGATGAGAGCGGGCCGGTCCTCAAACAGCCGCCTCAGGGGGCTGAGCGGGTCCTCCCCGGCCTCGGCAATTCCAGGCACGTCTGCGGGGGGCCGGAGGGACGTGTAGAAATCTTATCTGGTTTAACCAGGATTACCCGGATAAGCCGTTTTCCTCGTCCTGTTTGCCACTGGGCCTGGGCGCTGTGCAGACCGCGTGAGTTACGGTAGGGGCCCCTGCCTGCCCTGGGGCTTAGCTAATGAGGGGGCTGGGGTGCTCACCCTCCGGGAGAGCCAGGGCCACGGGCAGGGCGAGGGGATGGGCTGAATGACACGGAGAGAGGAGGGACGGCAGCCGAGGAAATGCCAGCTCGGCCCCACGGGCCCAGGGAAGCGGAGTTGGGGTCAGGAGACCCGAGGAGCTGAGCTCGGGACCCCCCCACCCCTACCCCCGTCCCCATTTCAGACCAAATGAGAAACATGAGCCACCAGGAGCGAGCAGATGGCGTCTCCAGGCTCTGGGCTCCCGTCCGGCCAAAGCAAACACGGGCTGGCAGCCGGGTCTGCAAACGCCACCGCCATCTGGAACAGGCTCCCCTCGCCAGTGTGTAGCTGCATGTCCCCGCGCTGCGAAGGGGCCACCGCACGGGCTGCAGCAGGGCCGTCCCCTCCTGTGGCTGAGCAGTGTCCCCGTTACACACGCATGTCCTCCGGCCCCGCCAGGCCCAGCCACTGACCCTCGGGCCCAGCGACCCAGCGTCGGACAAGCCTCCAGGGGACCTGATGTGAGTTTGCCGCCCAGCGGACCAGGGGAGACAAGGCACCCGCTCTCATGGGGTCAGAGTCGGGGTGGCGGGGGGGCAGCCTGCAGCCAGGGCGGCACTGGCATGCGCTCAGGTTTGTACAGAACGTCGGCCGGGCCACGTGGCTGCCGACCGAGTGGCTGCCGGACACCAGTGGCCGCCACCCCTGCGACACGTCCTCTCTGGCCCCGGCAGAGGCTGGCCAGCTGGCTGAGGGCAGCGGGACCCGGGGCGGCCGGGAGGGGCCGTGTCTGAGCATCTCTCCGTGTGGCCAGGACGGCCGCCTGGGGCTGAGCCTGCCTGGGGCTCGGCCTGTGGGTCCGGCAGCAGGAAGGGAGGCCTGGCGGCGGCCTGTGCTTACAGCCTCCGCCCTGAAGTAACCCGGTGTTCACTCACTCACAGCCAGATGGCAGCCTTGGGGGCAGGACCCCCCGCCCCTCACACCCCCGCCCCCTACCCCCTGTTCATAGTAAGTGTTTATAGTTGAAATCATTGGCGCCAGAAGACAACCAGAAAAGCGCTCCCAAAAGTGGCAAATGAAGAACCCCAACGGCAGGGGCGCCGACCGCCCCCCCACGAGCAAACGCGAACTCGAGTGCACAGGTGGCCATTCCTCCTGGAGGCCTCCGGGCGCTCAGTGGCCGGCTCCTGACAACAAACAAGAGGCAGAGACGGACAGAGGAGCCTGGGAACCGGGAGCCCTGCATCCGCTCCCGCCACGGGGCCTGCCTGCTGGCTCCCCCGAGGCACGTGGATGCCCCTCCAAACTTACTCCACAAAGAAGGGGGGCCAGGCCAGCGGGGCTCAGGGGTTGAGCATCAGCTCATGAACCAGGAGGTCACGGTTCCATTCCTGGTCAGGGCACAGGCCCGGGTCCCCAGTGTAGGGCGTGCAGGAGGCAGCCAATCGATGATTCTCTCTCATCACTGATGTCTCTCTCTTTCTCCCTCTCCCTTCCTCCCTGAAATCAATAAAAATATGCTTTAAGAAAAGAAAAGACATCCCAGAGGAAGGACCAAGTGGACACAAGATAAAGCCGTCTGTGACTATGGTGCCATGTCCACCCCTGCCGAAGGGACTCCGAGCTTGGCCTCTAGTGGCCGATGAGGCGGCGGGGGGAGTGCCCGTCCTCCCCGCCTTGCCTGTGGGTGTAATGTGAGCAGACCGGCTCCGTGGCTGTAAATCACCCCAGTTCCTCTGGGACCCATCGCGGTCGTGCTAACCGTGATGGATTCTCGTGGTATTTAAAGAGCGAGACTGTCAATTAGCTTTTATGAGAATCATCACAGTCATTGGCCCCCTCACAGACCTCCTTTCCGAAGGAGCCAGTTACTAAAATGGGCGATAATTTGCTTTTAGTATAATCTCTCTGAAAGCCAGAGCGAGTCTCCAAAATAATTCAGAGTTTAAGTTGCAATCTAAGCGACCTTTTCCTCGCGATGACGGCGGAGGGTGGCGTCGCCGTTCTTGGCCGATTCCTCCGCAGGGTGTGAACTGCAGGTTGCCGTGTTCCCGCGAGGACCGAGTGACACAGCTGCTCCTAACGGCCTCTCCGGGAGTGGCCACTGTCCTTCCGGAAGCGAATCCAGCCAGCCAGACCCTCCCCCTGGGGCCAGAGTCCCCCGAGGCCTCCCGCCCCCGAGGCCAGTTGCCCACAGCGATGACCTTGGTGGAGGGAAGGGCGCGAGTCGCTCTGGCCCAGGCCCCGCCAGGCCCCCCTCCCATCCTGCACGTCGTGGGCTCAGACCACCGGGGACTCCAAGTCCTCCGCCTGCAGCTCCAGAGGCGAGGAGGCTCCAGTGGGAACCGGGAGAGAGGAAACACCAGTGTGTTCGGAGTTCAGTAGCTCGGTTTGTTCAGTCCCCGTGGGCCGAGGACGTGGGGAGAAGCAAATCGGAAAAATACGGCTGCGGGCCCTCAGGAGCGCCGGCCCCGGGGACAGACAGGGACCCCCAGCGAGGGCCAGGCGTCCGTTTGCGGCTCTGCCCGCTGAAGGGCGGCCGCGGGGTGCGGTCAGAGTGCGTCCTCCGGAGCCGGCGACGCCCCTCAGGACGAGGCCGTCCGTCTCTCGCCGCATCGCCTCCCACAGCCGGGGCTCATGCTTGTTTAATGAACAAACGGATGCCAAACGACAGCGAGAGGAGGTGACAGTTAAGGAGCTTGGACACCGCAGGTCCCGGTTGGACACGGCACAGACCTCTCGTCTAACCCCTGCTCGGCCCCCGGGGAGCTCAGGGAAGCACCCCACTTCCCGTTTCACCCAGAAACCTGGGCGTTGTTGGGACCAGCGTGACGCGCGGGATCCCACAGCAGTGAGGGCAGAGCCGCAGGGGGTCCCCGTGGGACTGGCTAACCGTGCTGGGTTCTCGTGGTGTTTAAAGAGCGAGGCTGTCATTAGCTTTTATGAGAATCATCACAGTCATCGGCCCCTCGCAGACCTCCTTTCCGAAGGGGGTGGAAGGCTCGTGACCTACCGCCAGCACCGCTCGCTCAGATGACACGGTGTCATTAACTCCTCAGCACGCTGTGTTCGGTCCTCAGCGCTCCCACAGCTGAACTGGGCGCCCTGGGACCTGCCTCACCCCCTCCCCTCGCCCCAGCCCGCTGTCTTCATGAAATCAGCTTTTATTTTTAAGGTTCCATACGCCGCCCTGTCTCCATCTGGCTTATGTCACTCAGCACTGCCCGGGCTCAGCCGCGGTTGCAAACGGCAGACGTGGGTTTTCTAGGACCGAGCTTGGGTATTTCCTTGCTCTTCTCAAAGAACCAGAGTTTGGATTCATAGTCACAATCCCGGAAAGGTCAGCGGCGGGAAAAGCCCTTTACTGAGGGCGAGCTCAGCCTCCTTCTCCACCAGCTTCAAACACCACGGCCCGTGCCGGCCTGAGCAGAGCCGGGGAGCCCGGGAGCCCGCCCGTGCCGGCCTGAGCGGAGCCGGGGAGCCCAGGAGCCCGCCCGTGCTGGCCTGAGCAGAGCCGGGGAGCCCGGGGGCCCCGGGGCGAGGGAAACATGGCTGTCCTTCCCGCCCACCTTCCTGCCTCGGAGAAGCGCCGCCCGATTCCCCTGCTCGATGGCCTTTCTGCCGAGCACCACGTGCCCTCCCGACGCCCGGTGCAGCGCGAGGAGGGGTGACCGGGCACGCGGCACTTTCTGTCTGACATTTACACCCAAACACCGGAGACCAGACAGAAGCCTGCCCCGTGCCCCGCGGACCGCACCTGCTCATCGCCTTTCTAGCTGGTGAGAGGGAACCGGACTGCCTTTGGCACCAGCACGGACACCGCTGTGTCCTGATACACTTGCTGCTGCTTTTACAGCCCGAACCCTGGGTGGCCAGTTCCCCCTGGAAGCCCTGACCACAGAACTTAGGCCGCTGTTTTAGACGCATGTGTGGTCACAGGGAACCCAGGGGTATTACGACCCACGGCCCCACAGCAGACAACACAAGTAGCTGACTCCGCAGGCAGGCTGCTGCGCGTTCGCAGGGGTGTGTCACCAGGTCGTTTCGCCCCTGGAACTGGAGGCAGGCAGGAGGCGAGTTCACCCTGGCATGTGCCCACCCACACTTCAGTGAAAAGTGTTTCTGCAAATCCAACTGGAAGCAGCACCTTGCAACGTAACCTCTCCAGAAACGCCAGTGGGCGGCTTTCAGCCAGGCTCAGGGCGCACGCGCACCACCCTCCTGCCTCTGATGGGGCAGCAGCGGGTGCGGTTGGGGGTGCGGGTGCGGGATGGGGGATGGGGGATGGGTGGAAAGAAGCAACAGGGCTGAACTCCCATGTGGGAAAGCTTCTCTCGGATAACATCCCACCACCACCTCTTAAAACTAAAGAATTCTAGTTACTAACTCACGCCCCAGTGACGGACAGACGTCCTGGTGGGTCGTAGGAGCTGGGGCTCAACTCGGAGCTGAACACCCGGTCCAGGACGTTCCCAGGGTCAGTCAGCAGTGTCACAGGTGTGTGTGTGCGCGTGCGTGTGTCTGTGCGTGGGTGCACGAGGGACGGGAGAGGACCAGCTGGCGCAACCCGACATCCCGAGCTCTGCAGAATCCGTGGCCCTGACACAAAGGCAGTAAACGAGTCAGACTTCACAGCATCTTGTACAGCAGCCAGTGACTTTAATGGAAGGAACCATCAGACACTGCCCGCCCCCAAGCAGCCCAGCCGACAGCGCTGACAGTGGCTTCTTCATTAAGGTGAAGGCGTGAAGGTGTTCAAATCAGATTCAGCTCATTTCACAGGAACATCACAAGGGCACCGTCCGCAGATCTTCCTCGTACAAACCAACCCCGCGAGTACACACCTGCTCTCCGGCACCTTCTCTGAGGAGACGCGAGGACGAAAGAGCCTCGAGCGGGGGCCTAGCCAACCACCACGACGTCGTCGCTGGTGAACTCGTAGTAGGGGACCTCGAGGTTGAGAGGCGCAGGCCCCTTGCGGATCCTGCCAGAGGCGTCATAGTGGGAGCCGTGGCAAGGGCAGTAATAGCCACCATAGTCGCCCGCGTTGGCAATGGGCACGCAGCCGAGGTGCGTGCAGACTCCGATCAGGATGACCCACTCGGGCTTCTTCACGCGCTCCAGGTCGTGCTGGGGGTCCCTCAGGTGGGACACGTCCACGGCGGCCTCCTGCTCCACCTCCTTCTGGGTGCGGTGGCGCACGAACAGCGGCTTGCCCCTCCACTTGAAGGCCATGTTCTTGCCCTCGGGGATGTCGGACAGCTTGATTTCGATCTTGGACATGGCCAGCACGTCGGCCGAGGCGCTCATGCTGGAGACAAACTGGGAGACGACATTCTTGGCGGCGTAGGCGGCGGCGACCGTCGTGGTCGCCGTGACCAAGTAGGAGAAGCCCTTCCTGGCCTCGCTGCTCTCCTTGGAGGACTTGGTGCTGTCCTGCACCTCGGCCCGGCGGTAGTCGGAGAAGTCGGGCACCCTGACGTCTGTGTGGGAGTAGCGGACAGAGGCAGGGGCTGCGAGGCAAACGGAGGGGGAGGCACAGTTAGACACCAGGCAACAGACCTTAGTAAGTTCGTGAGCAAGAATCAGTGATAAAGACGTGAAAAACCCCTCACTGGCTCAGAAATGGCCAACAAACGCCCCACGCGGAATGAAGCCACCACGCCCGGGACCGTCAGACACTGCGCACACGGGGGGCCTCCTGACTGAGCACCGCGGAGTCCGCACTCACAGCGACCCGGCATCACGTTGGAAGGTCAACCAGCACTGACAGAGCAGCACTTTAAACCCCGAACCCGAGGTGCGGGGCACGCTCCACGGCTGTGACGCCTCCCACACTCTCTGGGTCAGAGGGACCCGCTGATGTGTGAGAGCAGCTTGTAACCCTCTCACTGCCTGCCTGTTGCCTGAAAGAGCGGCTACAAACTCACAAAATACTCATTACAAGACAACAGACACCCCCAGGGCCTGCGGCATAACTTCAGCTGCAGAAAACGTCAACTTCAAGTGAAAGCCCCGCGGGCAGGAAGGGGTGCCCTCATCAGGATAAGCAGCCATCCGAGTCCCATCACGTCTCCAAGTCCCAGTCATTTCAATGCAGCAGGCAGACCTCTAGGAGGCCGCCGCCTCTCCTCCCACGGCGGGGTCTCAGCCGGCCACCACACGGCCACAGGCCAGACACTCATGTCAAATGACCGTTAAAGAAGAAACAATTACTGTCCATGTAATACTTTGGATGTGAGTCATTCATTTATTACTTTATTTTTTTAAAGACCACATCCCGCTGTCCTACAGCATTTTTAAATGTCTGGGAAAAGGAACTTACTGGTATCACATCTAAGCATGTTTCAGGAAGCAAATCTCTTTGCAAACTGTACTTTCATTTTAGGATATTTGCCAAGTTTCCCTGTTTAGAAAGTGGAACACTAAAAACCCCTCTTTTAGAAAACGTGCTGTTTCCCAAATAAAGTGTACTTTCGTAGAAGCTGCAGTTCTACGGGCTCTCCAGGCCCATCGCTGACGGGAGCCGACAGGTGCTCACACACAGGGAACCCATCAAGACCCCTCGGTGCGCGGTCCTGGCTCACCCAGCCGTGTCCGGAGGGAACCAGGACACAGGCAGTGGCGTCACCTGAGGTACCGCCCTCCCTCCACCTACGGCTAACCTGTCAGAGACCGGGGACGGTGGAGATGCATTACTGTCCCTCAGCACCACCTGGGACTGCACAGGAGATAGGCATCGTACCTACATTTCTACCCGCGAACAGCACACAGGAAACACAGACACTGGCGAGAGGGGGGGCAGCTCCTCGGGAGACCTGTGGGCAAGGCCCCGCTGTCCACCCCGCTCTGTGCAGGCCACACTTCGCCGGAATTAAACGCCAGCAAGGAAATCACCCTCTAAAGGGCTCCCTGAACTGTGGCCGGCACGAATAGCAAAGGTGCTGGCCAGACTTAGCTCAACGACAGCAAAACCAGCGACTTGTTGCAATACCCCCTCTACCTGTCAGAATTAAGGCGTCCTCACAGACCACGGGCTGTTCCTGCCTGCCCCGCTTTGTTTAAGGTGAGCTCTGGGGCACCTGGGCATCGTCCTTCTCAGCTCTGACCCACCCCCCTGCTGCCCTCTCCCCTCTGCTACCCCCTCACAAACCACCTGGACAGCCGACTGGGAGCTGAGCTGCAGGGGAAGGCGCGGGCAAAGCTTCTCCGAAACCGATTGGTGCCCCGACCACCGGCCATGTTTCCATCAGAACCATCGCGCCCCACCGCGTGCGGAACCCCAGGTGGCGGGAGCTAGAGCCGCGCTCCGTGCCCTCAGCCCAAGGCCAGTCACCGGCACCTTAAAGCGCAAAGGAAGCAGCAGACACAAAGCTTCGGCGGAGGGACGGGGCACTGGGGACGAGTGGGAGTCGGCTGGGGGTGCAGAGAAGGGGCGAGCGGAGGCAGAGCCGTGGGGCAACTCGGTCGCCACGCAGGGCAAGAGCCACCAACTCGTGTCACTGGGCCAGGCAGGTGCCGGCTCGGTGGGCCTGGGGGTGGGGGTCCTGGCCCAGCACCAGGCGGCCAGCTTTAAGGTCCGGGCCGCCCGCTCCGGACGCCAGGCCGGGGGTGAAGAGGAAGGAAGAGGAGGCGCTGGGCCCCGAGCGCAGAGGGCAGGGGCGCCCTTCCTCGCTGTAAGGTGGGAGCCTCCTCCCCGCTCTGCCTGTGGCTCCGGAGGCCGACGACCCTGTGAGTGACCTTGAGGCCGGGGCTGTGCGTCACCGTGCGGGGTGCGGGGTCGGGGTGTCGGGGGCGCACTGAGGGGAACGCCCCTCGATGAACAGCAGCTCCCGCGGCTGAGCGTTTAGGCTGAGCTGACACCGCCCCCCACGCCCCCCCGTGTCCCAGCGGCCGTGGGAGCCTCAGATACGACCCAGAATTCGGGACCATCCCGACCCGCTTCCCTGGTGGGAAAAGGCCGCGGGAGCCGCCAAGGCCGTCAGCCTCCGGGGGGCAGTCGGACCCCGCGTTCCCGACGGGGTTTCGAAGCCGAGCCCGAGGCTGGGACGCGGCCTGGCCGCCCACGGGGACCACGCAGGGGCTGGGGGCGGGGCGGGGAGGGGAGTCGGAGCCGGAGGGCCGCCGGCGATCGCCCAGCCCGCGGGGCCCGCACAGGTGGGAGCTGGGCCCGCGGAGGCGGAGGGCGGAGGTGCGCGGACCCGCCCAGGGCCCGTTCATGTTCCCCGGACCCCGCCCTTTCCCGCGGCCCCTTGGGCCTGGGACCCGGGAGAGCGAGAGCGGGGGCCCGGCTCACCATTAAGGCTCACGACGGCGACCAGAGGCCCGCTCGCGGCCTGGCCGTTCAGGGACTCCCGGCAGAGGAAGGGCCGCTTCACGTCCAGCACCGGCGGCTCCGCGGCCGGGGGCAGCGCGGCCTGCACCAGGGGCCGCAGCGCGCCCGCCACCGCGCGGGAAGAGGCCGACAGGACGGGCGCGAACGGGCCCGAGCGGGCAGCGACCGACAACATGGCGACGGCTGCTCCAAACTCCCAGCCGGTCACTGAGACGACCTTCCGCCCGCCGCGCAGGCGCGGGGAGGCGCAGGCGGCGCGGGCCCAAGACGTCAGCGCGCCGGATGGGCGGGGCGTGCGTCGGAGGCGGGGCCAAGAGCCCAGGCTGAGGGCGGGGCGTGCGTCGGAGGCGGGGCCAAGAGCCCAGGCTGAGAGCGGGGCGTGCGTCGGAGGCGGGGCCAAGAGCCAGGCTGAGGGCGGGGCGTGCGCCGGAGGCGGGGCCAAGAGCCAGGCTGAGAGCGGGGCGTGCGCCAGAGGCGGGGCCAAGAGCCAGGCTGAGGGCGGGGCGTGCGCCGGAGGCGGGGCCAAGAGCCAGGCTGAGAGCGGGGCGTGCGTCGGAGGCGGGGCCAAGAGCCAGGCTGAGGGCGGGGCGTGCGTCGGAGGCGGGGCCAAGAGCCCAGGCTGAGGGCGGGGCGTGCGTCGGAGGCGGGGCCAAGATCCCTGGCTGAGGGCGGGGCCGCGCGGGGAGGCCGGGCTGCCGCCTTGTCTGTCTGTCTGTCTGCCTGCCTGCCTGCAAGGCCGTCTCGCGGGTCGCTGTCCTGGGATCTGCCCCATGAAAGGGGGCAGAGGAGGCCGCCAGGAACGTCTCGTAGGCCGAGTTTGCGGTCTCTTAGGGCTAATACGTCATCTTTGGGGACCTAGGGATCAGAATACATTTTCCTAATAGTTTAAATAGGGATAATAATAGTTCTTAACATATATGCATATACCCGTGTTCCCAAAAAATGTATACACACTTTTCCCTGATAGCTCAATTGAAGTTTCTTTTCAGAATTAACCCATTGGAATTAATTATTTAAAGTGTGTATACATTTTGGGGGACACCATATATATAAATAAATAAATATAATAGGGTACACATATAAAACCTAAAAGACCAGCATATAGTAACTGCTATGTATTTACTATAATGACTATTCTCATTACCTAAAACAAAAAAAGTTTTAAAAAGGCCAGGGACTTGTGTGAAAGCGTAACGATGACGATGATGATGATAATGGCTTATGTTTATTAATCATTTACTGTGTGTTAGGTTGTGTGCTTTCCCTTCATTCTTTCACTGATAGTCCAGGCCCCCATGAGGGAACCGAGGCCCTGCCCCCAGGGCTGGAGAGGCGGAAAGGGGTGAAGTAGAAGGGCCGCTGCACATCCAGCACCGGCGGCTCCGCAGTCGGGGGTCGCCCGTGTCTGCTCCTAACCACCGGTTTCCGAGTGAGACTTTAGGGCCTGCAGGGCTACGTCTTTAAATCGTTTCCTGTCCCAGGGGGAGAAAGTTGCTCCCTTTTTACTTCTCTTTCAGTCCTTTGATTCCAGCACTGAGAAAGGCCCAGCTTGATGCTATTATGTCTTGAATTCCTAACATTTGCAACTCTCCCCTTGAATTCAAAGCCCTTATCAGGATGTGGAATCTACAGAGGGTTTAATAACATCATTTATTTTTTTGTGTATTTATTTTCTAGCCATACTGATTTTCCAAAGACTACAGTGAGATTTGTTTTACATTTCTCTAGACAAGAATGAGCTCATTTAAATGTTAACTATTAAGACAGTGTACAGATTTGGCAGCATTGTGATGGTGGTGGGAGTATAAACCAATGCAGTTCCTCTGTGCTTTGCATGGGCTCTGTGACCTGGGCACGTTTCCTAACCCCTTCTGCCTCAGTCTCCTCACCTGTGAAATGGGATGGTAGTGATGCCGCCGGGAGGAGCAAGCGGACTGATTTGTGGCAGCACCTGCGAGGGGCCTGGCACACCCTGAGCCGGGCAGGGTTTGCTGGCGTTGTTTTATCTGACCCCTCACGCCCCCTCCCTCCTCCTCACTTCCTTGGATTCCTGCTCGATTATGTCCCTTCCTCCTGGGCCCTCCTCGGGGCCTGGGTCTTGGCTGTGCTGCCCAGGCTGTGGAAGGGAGTGGTCATCTTGGACTGTCTCGTGGATCCAGTGTGATCACGGGGTCCTGGCCAGGGAGACGCCGGAGGTCAGAGGGAAGAAGGAACCATGCTGTTGACTTTGAAGATGGAGGAACGTGTTCGCCACGTGAGGCTGGAAAAGGCCAGGAAACAGATGCTGCCCCGGAGCCTCGGGAAGGCGGCCCTGCGGACCCATCCAGACGCTGAGCGCCAGGACTGCGGACGGGTACATTTGCGGCCATTTGTTAGGGCGACCGAAGGAACTGGTGCACACACGTCTCTTTTTCCTGGAAACTGGAAGGTCTAACCGTGTTAGTCCCGGGTCCTCACGAAGAGAAAGCCTGGGGCGAGTCTTCGCTTCCTGGTCTGGTCCGGTCCCACCTTGTCCACTGCATTCCGTCTGAAAGGGCGAGGAGTACGCCCTCCACCTTGCCCCAGGGTAAGGGCTATGCCCTTCATCTTAACTTGGCCATGTGCTCAGCAAGCTTCTTCCCGGAAGATAGTCAAGGGAAGTGCACGCCATCACTATGACCACATCCTGTGTACTCACGCCTGGCCAATCAGCAGGGCCCACAGTCCTTTCTCCTCCCCTTACCCCAAACCCCTATAAAACCTCTCTCCACACAGAGTTCTCTCTCTCTCGGCCACTGGAGCTTACCGTTGCATCGGTGAGTGTGGCAGGGGAGCCAAACCTAGGTTTGAAATGAATGACTCTTTGCTTTTGCATCGGACTCGCTGGCTCCCTGTGGGTTCTTGGGAATCATGAAATCTGGGCACAACATTTGGGGGCTCGTCCGGGATTCCCAAGACCATCGAGGGACCCCCGATCCGAAGAGTCTGACTGACCTCGGTATGTGTGTGTCGTTGTATGTTCTGTTCAGTGTGAGCTCTTTTCTGGAATCTGTAATTGCCTGAGGGGTCTAGGCGGACGCGCCGTGAACGACCACAGGCGGGGGAGAGTTGGAAGACGTTCCGCTCCCCAGGAGGGATGGATATGCCCCTCACCCCAGGAGGGATGGATATGCCCCTCACCCCAGGAGGGATGGATATGCCCCTCACGAGGGATGGATATACCCCTCACGGATTTGAGACGAGGCAGGTCGCTCCTGCCGGTTTGGCGTAAGGCCAACGTCTAGTTGCTTCCATGGAGTTGGAAGCCTGTATTTTCGGGCCCTGTTTAGTGTTCTGTGTTTGTACTGGACGGATGTTATGGGATGGACTCAGACTGCTCCTTTGGGTATTGTGATTGATCATTTCAAGGAGATTGGGGGAGGCTTTAGAGCTCCCTCAGGAGTTGGGAAGTTGTTAGGAATTGAATGGATTGTTTAAAGTCTGAATGAATGTCTGGTGAAAGTGGGAGTGTGGAGGGAGGGGGATTGCCCTCCCCCCTCCTTTGTGTGGCGGTCGGGCGGCCGCCTGAGTGAGGGTCTGTGGAAATAGGTCACCCCCTCCCCAAGTAAATGCGTCTGGGACTTCTGTGCACGTGTTAGGAGAAAAGCTGGCTTAAAACTAATGTGCGCACCGTCCGTTTTTGGATAGGGTTTTGGGCTAGTGTATTTAATTTGCTACCTAAGATTTTAAAAAGTTCTGCAATATAATGTTGGCCGTCTATCTTTTAGGGGTTTTGGTTTGCTCTTCCCTTGTTTATTGTGAGAATGAGGAAATCATCTTTTCTGTCAGAGAACAGTTTAGACCGCCACAATGTTGAGCTGCCTGACTTGGCAGCCGCCATGTTGGCCGCATGGCATGCCCTGCCCCTGGGGGCCGCCATCTTGGAACAGCAGGCCCCTCCCTCTGACTTAGTCAATCACAAAAGGAATGTCTGCTCACTGAGGCAGGATGGGATTTCAGGGGTGGAGTTTTAAGGCGGAGTTTTATTAAGGAAATGCAGATGGGGCAGAAAGTGTGCCTGCCTCCCAGATTTATTTAATACTAAATTAGCAATCACGGTCTTAATATAATTTTAGTGGTATGATAGACCAATGTTTTGAGCAGTTGGCTTTATAAGGGCCGACAATAGAGCTTGTATTTCTTAAAGGGCTTGTAGATAGAGAATTGAAAAGCTTTTACAAATTCATAAATGCATCCAGGATTTCTGTGCACATGTAAAGGAAAAGGCCAGTTTAAAAACGAGTGCGCATAGTTTTGAGCTGAACTTGACCTTTTGCTGTGTACAGAATAAAAACCCGAGACTGTTTTGGCCTTAATAGTTATGGGTTTGCTTCTTGAATTCCCCAGCAGGAAAATTGTGACCATTTTGAAATTTAGCAGCTATGCCAGGATAGCAGTAATCCAATTTCTAAAGTAAAGTACAATTATTTCAGGTAGAAACTGGTTTAAAAGTTCTAGCTACCTGGAAAGCATGGCCTTGGTATGATAGGAGGAAAAAGAAATATTAAATGAATGGTAAATCAGTGAACTGGGACTTGTCACTGATGGTGGATTGTGAAAAGGGCTGGACGTGGCCTAACTTCTCCTTCCTTGGTACCCCTGAAACGTCTGAGGGTACTTCTGGCCTTGGTTTTCCAATGTGTTAAATCTGTCGATTTTGTTATTTCGCCGAAATCCTCTTGAAGGACATTGAATGGTTCTTTCCTTCCTCTTTAACTTTTGGGGGATTGTGTGAATGGATTACTGATGTAGATTATCAAGAATCTCTAAGGTACTTGTCCTGTATCTGGAGGAATGGCTTCTAGATGGTATTCACCATCTCTGGGACTTCCGGAGGGAAGTCAAAGCTCGGACTGGCTAAGGGTTCGGATCTGGCCTATCTTTTAAAAAGGTAGAAAAGAAGCATTCCTAGGCAGTTTTCTACTGCCTCTGTTCAGGGACTTGTTCTGTATCTCGACACAACTGAAACTGATTTGTTGGTATTTTGTGGTATAAATGTGGCATGCACCTCAAAGTTCTTAATGGGGAATGTATCTAGTTATTGTGTCTATTTAGTCTTGATTTCCTTGTTCAGTATGAGTACCGTTTCTATCTGGATGAGACATAGGTCAAAAGTCCTGAACTGGGATATGGGAAAGGGAGGCCTCCACATCTGTTCCTGTCTGCTCACTGAAAGGGTGTAAGTTGGATGTTTATTTGATGTTTGTATGTCTACTTGGGTATAATTA